ATGCCCTGGCGCTGCTTGACATCTTCGAAGAGAGGACAAGCACATCAGTCACAATCAGCCAAACAGCAGTGGTTAACACAGCGTTTGAAGCCGGCTCATGGCACCTTCGGGAAGCAGTCACATCGAACCGCAACGGGATGCTTGCTTGCTCTAAGGCATTGAAACTTGTCGCCCGGAATGCTTTTGCAGCAAGTTGGAACTCTGAAAGAATTCTTCTATGCGTCTCTTTACAACATGCATCAGCATCCTCAGCACAATGGTAACAAACGTGAGTGGATGCTTGCGTGTTCAGTGGTGAAACAACAGCAATCAACAATGCCGTTCTGCAATGGCAAGCAGACGAAAAGCCCTGCACGTCTCGATCTGGGGGACTTGAAGGTTTTCGAGACCTGGCAGCCTCTAAGGGCTGCTGCCGCACTGGCCCCGGTCAAGCCATCAATAACGACAGACTGAGAGAATTCAAACAATTGCGCACATTGCCTGGCCGTGTCGCCTTGTGCGAGTTTGAGGCTGAGGTGCAGGCGTACGTAGAGGCCAGTAACACTTCTTCCACCTGGGTGAAGGCTTGTTTCTCGCCAACCGATGCTGTGCGCTGCTATGCCTTCTCTGAAGGCTTTTGTTCAGGACCCGGCCAGGCGAGAAAGCAGAGCCAGCTGAGCTGTTGCTGCGCGTTGTGCGCACGCTCTCACCGGCCTGCCGACGATGAAACGACGGAAGGACCGAAAGACCCGAAAAGGCCGTGCCTGCAAAAAGGACTCGTTGCTCGCCGTGGTCTGTGAAGAGCATGATGCATCTGGGGGAGGGCTGCTCCCACAAAATGCGCTGTTGAGAACCTGAGTCCCGCGAACACAGAGCTCTGCGTGAGCTCCAGTAGACTCTAGCGACACACCATATTTTGGGGAAAGCACTTGCACAAGCTGATCGTTGCGAAGCTTGTCCTGCGATCCTTTAAAGGCTTGGTACGCGGTCTCCGCGAATTTTCTGGAAGGATTGTCAGCCTGACATGCAATATCCAACAATCGTTGTTCTATATCTCTTCACAACCCGTGTTTTGCTGCCTTCATTCACAGCAGGACTCACCAAGCCTCCATGCGTTTGGCGATGCCGGCAATTACCATTCGCCTGTGCCGCATCTCTGAACCACAATGCGCGTGCTGTAAGAGGATTGAAAGTAGCGCGGCCCTGTACTGAAACCCAGGAAGTTGTCTCTGTCGGTTTCACGGCCAACAATCACACGGCCTAACCTGATCGAACTCACCAGACTTGGGAAGGGAACAGCCTCAGGAAGGGATGCTGCCGCCATCGTCGCAAGCTGCGCAGCATGGCACGCGCAAACTCGAGGGAGCTCTGGGTGAAGCCAAGCCCTGCGAGACCGTGCAGGAATTCTTGCCACTCAAAAATTAAATGTGCGGTGGGAGGCTTTCAGTCTGGAAACGAAGTTCGGTCTGTCAACTTCTCTGTGGGGCTTGGGTGTCTCAGATTCCAACCAACACACCAACACATCATATTTATACTCTTACATTTTCTGACAACTGACGAGGACCCTAATCAACGAATGAGAATAAGAACCGAGTCCGTGGAGGTCGCCTTCCGAGCGCTCGGTGAAGATTGACCTGCACCAACGATGCCAAGCAACACGAGGCAACTGTCATGTGAATGTAATCTCAGCTGCAACCTTCAGGCAACCTGCCACACTGCATTTCGCGCTTGATAAGCAGGCCGTGGACAACGAAAATCAACGAAAGCTCAGCAGGCTTTTTTCAGCAGAAGCACTTCACGTCATATGTCACTCACAATTGACAGGTAAATTCCGGAGCAACAAAGCGGTCACGTCAGAGACCCACCCACAATTCAGACGCAAAGAGATCGTACATCTTAGCACCTCAAGAGGCACTGTAGCAGCATATCATGGCCCGGCGACGGAGCACAGTGGTGATTTGGGCTCGCATGCTTTGCAGGATGGCTTGAAATTCTCTTGCGTCGGGCAAAAAGCAGACCTGTCGAAGCCGTGACGATCAGCAAATCGGCTACGACTTCTGCTTGTCAGTCCGTGCGCGGTCTTGGCGATGGCATGAAGGGTGTCCCGGACGTCAATGTGACCTCGCTGGCTCTCCCCGGCAGCCGTGGAAAGCCGATGCACTGCAGGGTGGCGACCGCTCAGCAGTCGCATTTGTCTGGAGCAGCCATCGTTCCGTGGGGGGCAACGGTGCCATGTGCTGTTTTGGTGTCTGGAGGCTGCCGACATCTGCAGGTTGTTGCAGCGACTGGCTCCAATCGAACAAGGCTGAGCGTCAGTCAGGCCAGGAGTTGGCGAGCTTCAGCACAGCTTCTTGGCAGGGCACACCCCTGCTTCGGTGAAGTGTGTGTCATTTCACAGACCAACCACAATTCAGGGCAACAAGTCGTACATCGGAGCACCCTACATGTCACAAAGAGTTCCTCGAGCAACGCATTCCACAATTTAGAGGCAACAAACCGTACATCTTATCATCCTGCAATGCACCGGAGGCAAGAAACAATTTGGTGCACCAACACCGGCCCCAGGACGTAGCCTGCAAGACTAGTCAGCTATGCCAGATGTAATTCAAACGTCTGTGGTTTGTATTGGCGCCAGATGTGACGACCAGGAAAGAATGTACACGAAGTGACCTGAACTCTACAGAAATTACACATGACCGTGTTTCATCCATACCGTAGTCTGTCCGACAGCTAGTCGTAGTCGTAGTCGTCGTCGTCGTCTTTGCCGTAGTCGTGGTCGTCCCTGCTTGTTCCAGTCTCTGTGTGAAATTCAGGCCCGAGGAGGTCAGCAGTACATCAACTCCTGAACCTCCCCGAAGTAACACTTATAGGAACCACCCCCTGCTGGCCTCTTCGTACTAGGGCAAGCACCGGCACTGTTGTCGAAGCTCGTGGTGTATCACACGACGACAACTCGCTCATGGGACTGGAAGTCAGCGCAAACAAGACCTACTAGGCGTTGGGGTTATCTCACATCAGCTGGTGAGAATACACATCAATGCCGGCAGACGCTGGTTTAGGGAGAAAACACATCAGCGGGGAAATTACACATCAGAACTAGCTAAACCCCATGTAGACGCTGGTTTCAAGAAGCACGAAGCAGATAGGCCAAAATGCGGGATTTGCTGCGGACGCTGAGGCATATACTATAGTTGGAAGCATTCCAAGATAAGAAAACAGTGTGTTTGCCATGTAGATGCTGGGATTTGGAGTATTCCAATCGTCAGCTATCGTAATTAAGGGCTTCTGGACCATGCACAGCCCACAAACCTGCCATACACAAGCACACACTCTTGCGAAGATGAGGGCGCACGCGCTCACTGACACCGACATATGCGAGAGCGTGCTGCCGACGCTGAATATGAAGATGAAGAGTTTGATGAGATGATATAACGTCTATAATGCGTTCCCAGAAGTAGACGCCTTGCAGATGCGTAAAACACCCAGTTGATACGAGATAGCCCCGGGCCGGAGTACAACTTCAAGACCAGTAGCAAGTTACATGGATTACACTGTCCCTTGTGCCGAGCAAACTGTGCCTGTATATGTGCAAGCTAGCTTTTCCCCTCCTCAAAAACAACACTGCACCCTTACAAGCAAATACCGAGCATGCTAAACCAACTCGTCGTCGTCTCTCTCCCTCTCTCTCGCGCTCTCTGTCAATAAAGCTACAGGCGTAAGTGGGAAGGGGAGGCAGTCGTGCATCCCTGTACCTGCTTCTTCTGCGTGGCATTGGGCTGAGCTAAGGACACCAGCGAACCTGTTTCTGCATTGCATGCAGCTTTGCTCAAAACTCCCATCAAGATACTCATGGTGTGCTGTGCAGTAGATGCACATGTTCGCGATGCCTGTGCGGGCAAGATTCTTCGCCTCTGGGAAGTAAGAGAAGTAAACTTAGAAAAAGCCAAGGATTTTAGAGGTGTGTCTCTATGTCTCTGTGTCAGCATGTGTGCGCCTGTTGCCCAAAGACTCCGGAGATGCCCGCGTGGTCTTCGCCGTGAACCACTGGAGGGGGTGGCCATGAGATGCAGCTCATTTCACTTTGGGTTTCCCAAACCTCGTGACGGAGAGCCTGTGGTGCGGTCCATCTTTCCTGCCGTCAAGTGTCTTGACTTTCAAACCCAAGAACACAGCTCACCTCCACTTCTGGCTGCAGAAGCTTTCTGATCAGGTCGATAGCTTCGGGAGACACTGTTTGCCAAACCTGCAGCTGACAGGAGAAGACTGGGACCTAGTGAGCTGGAGATGCCACAAGACCTGTGACCCTGCGCCTCCTTCGAGAAGTCTGGTGGTTCTCCTTGGTGCACGAGGTTCCCACCGAAGGTCTAGCAATGCCTAGCTTATTGCTGCGCTTGGCTCCTTTTTGTTGAGGCTTTCTGAGCCCCTTGCCACTGGCTATCCTGTACTCATCTGATCCATAGGGCAAGTCGCCCGAAAGCATCACCTGCCAGCTCTTTGCAGGCAGCTCTCAAGTCCTGATATCCCTTGCTCCTCATCGCCCCAAATTTACGTTTGTGCAATCCATCGCTTGCTGGCCGCGAGTCCTTGAGTCACACTCCAGGATGGGCACAGATAGCACAGTGCCGTTCAGAGACTCTAAGTCGGTGCAAAGTAGATGAACTAAATGATGCTACGGCACTAGCCGCTAGTCCTAGTCTGTCCCATGTGAACCATTGACCGAGGGCAACCGAGAAAACATGCCAAGGGTGACATAGATCACGATCGCGCAACTCCACAGGTCGCTGGCAGCCAGTGCATGCCGATCGCCCTGTGAATCCTCGTTGTCACTACGATCGGGGCGGAAGATGTGGTAGATGTGACCCTTCCCTGGGCTCCATACACGCACCAGGGAGCTCCAGCGCTTGGAGAAGAGCTCTGGTGCCATGTACGGCACACTGCCATTCACCTCCAAGGAGCCGCGCTCTCCCTGGCATCTGGCGCTGAAGCGCGAGGCCTGGCCCTCTCCCTGGCTCTCCGGACACCTGACAGAGCATACGTGCAGAGCACAAGCTCGCCGAGACGGCGCGCGCACCGGATGTGAGTTGCGATGCCAAAGTCAGCTAATTTCAGCGTGGCACCGGCATCCTGGCAGAGGCGGGTCAGTCGCAGGCCGCAACTAAGAGTCAGATTGAGGAGTGGCGGTGGAGTGTTGGCCGCGGCCTCTTCAAGTCTCCCTTCTAGCAAAAAGTTCTCGGGCCTGAGTTCACACGCGAATTCTCCACATGGAATCTGTTTCGGTTCTTGGCTTCCAGCTTCACGTCCCGATGAACAATGCCCATGGAGTGGCAGTACCTCTCCCAGGTGCTGCGATGATGAACTGCGATTTCTGCCGAATCTGCTCTCTCAGAACTCTCAGCTCCGGACGCCAGGGCATTGAGCATTTGCTCCGCAAAAGATCTCGCAACGTTCTCCGGTAGATGACCCTTTGGAGACTCCGTCACCAAACCTCGGAGCTCCGGCTGCCAAAAGAGTGCGGCTGCTGAGAGAGCAGTTCTGGGGCCGAGGGACTGAAAAGGTCTCCGCCGCAGCAATACTCCATCAGGAGAAAGACTGCCTGCTGATACATGCTCGTTGGGCTGTGCATGTCTGGGTCACTCGAGATCCGTGGCCTCGGCGTCTTCATTGACTTCGTAGAGGCGGACAACATTCGGATGGTCGAGCATGCGCAGGTTCTGACAAACAGATAAGTTTCCAAGCTGGTGGCGCTCGTGCAGGTACGAATCACTCAGTGCCTTGATCTCAGCACGGAGGGCGCTGGAGTCTTGCTCTGCCTGAGGATTGCATCCATTTCGCACAAAAGTCACAAGAACTGGCCTAACTCGGCGATGCCTTGTGCAGAACTTTACAGGCATAGTACTGCTCGCTGACTTTGTGCTGAACCTCAGAGTGTCCCACAATGTGTTTCTTCTTCCCCCGCAGCACTCCGAACTCCGGACATCTGAGCAAGCTGCAATAAAGACAGCACCATTTCTTCCCTCACCTACAAGATTAACCATGTTGTAGTCCTGGTACCTGCAGATGCTGGAAGGTCTAAATTATCGGCCAGCAGCTCCGCACAACTTTTCATGGCGCACGTGTCGCTCAGCTTTCTGTGCCAGCAGTGTACCAAGGCATCTCCCGGTGCCCACCGGAAAGAAGTTGATGTCATTTGCTTGGAAACCTCATCTCGTTCATGGACAGACTATGTGTCAAGCAGCCGCCTGTCAAACAGAAACAAGCAGGACTGTGTAGGCACCGCACGAAGGTTGAAGTAACAGTGTGCACGGACGAGAATGAAGACGTGGGGGTTGCATGTGGAATGTCACCTGCTGTTTCCCGCACATCAACGCATATGCGAATGATGAACCCTTGACGTGTTCTGCGAGACATCTGCCTGACAATGCGCCAGAAGACTTGGATCTTGAGTATGGAGCAACGCCCCTGCATCTTCGTGTGTTGAGTTGTGCAATGTCCCTTCTTGAAGCGCTCTCACCGTACACTTGCAGTTGGTCCGCGCCTCTCACTGCTAATGGAGGCGTTGGACTTGAAACTGAGAAGTGGAACAGGGCCGGGTGCAGGGGGCCGCCTTGCCATTGAAGCCATGCAATTTGAGAAACTCGACTCGACTTGTGACCGCCATCACACGGTCCACCTTCCCTTCCTTTCGGGCGTGGTGACCGTCTCCGTCACATAATTCACCTACATCCAAGGCCAGTGACTCATTCACTTCGTGTATGTGGGTTGCATGCACTCTGCAGAGTTAGAAGATCTGACCTCAGCACATTCACATTTCCAGCATCTTGCACTTCTGATTGACCGGCCTGTTCCTCTTCCCGTCTGCTGGGGATGGGAATGCCAATCGTCGCAGGCATAGCATTGGCCTGGAAACGCCACGCACGAAAGAAGGGTGACGTTGCCTTCACAGGCTCACGGGAGCTACTTGTTCGTGGGTATCAGGTTTGGTGTCCAGCTAAACGCCCCCCAACTGTACACTGTTTTGTACTCTTCGAGGGCTTTTTGGAGTATCGAACACTTTGATCATCCTTGTTCAAGGAGGTGAGTGCTCGATACGTGCCGGCACAACGTCTACTTCCTTCGCTCTCCCGCAGGCACATGCAGCTGTCCCTGGGTCATGGATACGGTATGAGTATGAGAGTCTGCCCAAGCCTCAACCGCAAGCTTTACGAAGCTGTTTGCATGCTCCTTCAGACGGCAAATAACAAATGTGCAGTCCGGCCTGTCTGGAACGAATTGCAAGTGTTGGCGGAGCCTGAACCTCAATTCAACCGTCTTCTGGAATACAAGACGGTGAAAGGAGTGTGTAATTCTGCCTCTGCATGGCTTGTTGCGCCCGGCAGCGGTGCCTGGCCGTGCTCAGAAAGCTAAGCGAGAGCGAGCGCGACGAGTTAGCACTCGTCCGCCTCGCAGTCCTCCCTCGTAACTTGGCTGGGCCCCGGATGTGCCGGTCCCGGTCCAGCTGCCTTGGCAGCAAGCAAGCAAGCCCGTTGCCGTACCACGCAGGTGGAGCCTCCTGAGCGCTTTGCTCCGGACGATCCCGTCGCCATCGCAGTCGGAGGTGCAAAGACGGCGGGATCCCGTCCTTGAGACGAGGAACAGTGTCGACGAAGAAGGAGAGCTCTAAGGAGAGCTCTAAGGACCTAAGGCTTACTTCCATCTCCTTGCGGGGGGCTCGTCGACTGACCCCGGCAGGCCACCCCTGGCTGACGTTCAGGTCAGTGCTATTCAAGCCAAAGAGAAATCAATGGCCCAATGCCGTACCCACCCAGCCTGGTAAACAAAGACCCCCCAGGCCAGGTGACGTTGCAGGGTAAGCTGTGCTCAGAGCCTGCGATGGTAGCACTTCGCATCACTTCGCACAAGCTCAACGCAAAGGAACCCCGGCCGTCATCTGGGAGGAGGCGTCTTGCATTTCAGGCCGGAATCGTGCAAGTGCCGGCACCCTCGTGGATCAAGAAAGATATTACCGCAGTCGGGGGGAGATCGCCTTCATGGCCAAAAACCGAGACACGCACTGTGCATCGGATCTCCGCCACTAGCGACATGCGAAACACAGATGAATAATCAAGCCATTTAAGCTCTCAGCATTGCGGGTATACGGTATACGGATGAAAGCTTGTTGTGGGGGTAGGTGCTGCTGTCGGTTCTTGAAGAGTCCTCAGCTGAATCGTCCTGACGACTGACCGTCATGGTCTGGGCACTGTCTGAGGCCTTCTCGCTGCCATCACTTAGGCTGTTGAATTGTCGAAAGAGCTGCGGTAGACATTGTGCCATAATTCTATAGTCCCTCGTCCCCTTGCTGCCAAATCCCTGGGCATGGAACCCAAGGCACCAAAAAGCCCGAAGAGGCAGAGAAGCACTGACTACTTCAACGATGAGACCTTCGCACTTGCTCTTTTGAGGCTTTCTCGCCAATGAATGGCTGCATGCCCGGCTTAGAGAGTGACTTTCCTAGAATCTGTGGAGGCCCAAGGTCGCTTGCGCCAACTTCCGCCACGCACGATTTCTCGCAGGGTCCTTCAAAGCCAGCGCCAAGGCCCCAAGCCTGAAAATGTGTTCCAGCCTCGCTTGCCACACAAACTAGGAAGGTAAGAACGACGACACCAGAAAAGACAGGGAAAGCAGCTCAACGAGGCTGGAGCAAACCAAGAGAAGGACGAGAAGAATTGCAGCAGCATGCGACAAGTGACAATGTGTTGAGCAGATCGGCTATAGGGATCTCAGCAAGCCCGGGAGACCGAACCCTAGCAAACCCCGATAAGCAACACTCCCTCGTCATCGAAAACGGAACTGCAGGAACTCGGCCTTGCGGTGAAGCCACATTCTCACTTCATTTACCCTAGCGCTCAAGCTGCAGTCAGAGAAAAAGGATCCTGCCACTGCCTCTAGGAAGTGCGACGTTGGGGTATGGAGTATCAGGTCCAACATGTTTGTTGGAGGGTTTTGCTGTTGCTTCTATTTGCTTCTTTTCGGGACCTGACTTCACTGTCTCGCCCAGAATTCCAAGCCATTGGGGTCGTCGCTTTGTACAGGCCCCCCTGCTACCTTGACGTCGAAACAAATTTGTGAAACGACCTAAACTTGAAATCGGCAGCCTTTGTGGTGCTCTCACTCTGCATCCTCGAGGCCTTCGTCCAGGCCTGACCCGGGCGACAACATCACGAAGAAACAAGGACGGAGAGAGCAGCTGATAATGCTGATAAAGCAAACGAAGCACCTCCTTGCGCAGATGTCACTTCCTGGATCTTCCAATAACACCCCATAGCATCTGAGCTAATCTCAGCACCCTCGGGCTTCTGGCGGCAACGCGACCGCTGAGCTGGACAGGCTCGGGTTGCGGAGCTGGCTCGACGGGACCTTCTGAGCGCAGTTTTAGAGTCGGTTCGGCTGTATGGAGGCTGAAACTGGAACCAAGGCCTGGAATCTCTTGCGCGGACACCTGCTAAGTCGGGGCCACGGGCCACGAGCGATCACCAGCATTGGATTCGGCTAACGCCGAGAGCGTCCTGTGACGATGCGGACAGCTGGCTCCTTTCGCCGCGCTCGCTGCGCTCGCCTGCATCGGCCTGGACACAAAGACGATCGGGCTTTGAACGAAGGCGTTGAGATTGCCGCTATTGGAAAGTGGATAAGCTGCTTCGCTAGCGATGAGACTTTCTTGAGTCCCTGTTCTGCGTTGCAGTTTGACTCTACAGACTTGCCTAAGACTCTAACGGCCATCAGCCATGTTTGGCCGTGAATGCATGCACCGCCTGGGATGCAGAAGCCAAACCCAAGCAAAACAGTGACATTGGGGGGAGTGGGTCCGGAAGTGTCGGAAGTTGTGCGATCACCTGCACGAAGTGCCTCGTGAACGAGCTCTCACAATCAGATAGAAGGTCACCTTGTCTAACGTTGACCTTTCTCGATTTGCGTGTACCCTTATCCTGACGCTGCGCTTGTTGTTGGCCGGTTGGTTCGTGAAGCTGCCCGGCCTTCAGAGTACCCGAGTTCAGCCGTTCAAACTGCGCATGTAGTGTTGAACCGAGACGGCCCAAGCTTGGGGAAAGCACCCAGAAACTTCCGACCTCCAGACAAGTATCCCGCGCATTGCTGCTGTCATGCGCATCCACATTAGCATTCCATGTTTCAGCACCGTGTTGCGGGAATTCCTTTTGGACACCTTGACAGAGCCGGAGCTTGCCTTTGATTGCCGATGTCCAGTGCGAGCAGTCTTGGAATCTCGTGCGGCCGCAATTGAACTAGCGGGAGCTAGCTAGCTGGGTGAGCAGAAGGAAAAGATCGTGTACGAGCGCACGTTAAAGCAATCAACGTACGCCGAGACAGCGGCACAATTCCCTAGCATCTGCCTCGATCCATGAGGCCATCCTGTCCACGTTGCTCTTTACCTCTTTCTGAAGCTCCTTGTATCGTTCAGCAGCGCGGCTGATGTCCTGTGTGACGGCATGGGTAGGTAGCTGTGAAGCGTTGTGCGAGGATGCTACACCTGGAAACAACAGCATGGAGGACATTGGCAATGAGACCTGCGATGCTTCGCCCAACGCCGAGCCGTCACCGAGACTTTCTGCTGCCAGCTGCACGGTTTCTTTCCACGCCTTGGGGAAAAGCAAGAACCGAACGAGGAGCCGAGAAAGCTCGCTCAAAAGATCTCACAAGGACACCAGAACCAGGGTTCTTGCCTGGTGCAAGGCGGCTGCCGCTCGCGCATGCAGCGACTTGAGCTTCATGACCTGAGCTCTGTAAGCTTTCAGCCTAAAACGGCAACTCGTGCATTTAATTGAGCAGTGAAACCATCTGCGCGTCTTTCGCCAGCTCCTGGCTTGCTTTCATGCTGGATATGGCCTGATATAGCATAGACTTTCCTACGGTCCTACCTGCCTTCGCGTCTGGTCCCCAGACTTCTGCGTGCCAGCCAGCAAGCAGTTCCTCCAGAGGCAGTCCAGACGTCCAAAAAGTCCAAAGTGTGCTCGTTGGGCCTCCAGCGCACGACCTCGCTCCTTCTCGGACCTCGCGTCTTCACATCAAGCATCAGCAGTTGCACCGTATGGCTGAGCACATTCGGCACTGCCCACCCCATCCCGAAGAGAAAACTGGATGCATGAATGAGGGCAGTGTTAGAGAAAGACGGAGACAAATGACAAAGGAGTCGAGAAGTGCTGCCTAGACTGAGACCTGAGATGCAGTGAGCATATGTCAGAGACACGCTCAAGTCCAACATCATCCCAAGCCTGTGCACATACGTTTGAAACATCGACAGTGCCGTCTAGGACCTGCTGTGATTCTAGGCGAAACTACGGGCGGAAATTAGTCCAGCTGTCCAAGATCTGCAGGCCAGGCACTGCAGGCACATCTCCGCCGCTTTGGGCTGCTGCTCGGCCAGGTAATCGTGAGCTGCAAATCGGGCCTGACCGCAGCAAAATACTGAGAAACTTTCCAAGACTTTGCATTCGTGAAACACTGTGTTGCCACACCCTGCTAGTTCACTGACAATTTCTCGACGAAACTGCGCAAGGCGAGTCGGAAGGATCCAATTCGGCAAAGATGGGTGTCAAGCCTGCTTCGGGAGAGGGATGAAAACCAACCAAGCAAGGGAACAGAGCAGCGGGAAAGTGCCGTGGAGCCTCGCGATTGCATATCTTCTGCTCACCCCATGCAATCTGTCCACTGTCGACTGCGAATTTTGTCAAAGTCGACGTGGCTACTAAGAGCAAGGGCAGCTCTACATCCATCCGGTGACTGTTCTGTATGCGCCAGCGATGGCTGGGCTCTGGAGTAACTTTTACTATCGAGCTGGTTGCTAAGGATTCGCCCTTGTCGGCTGTTGTCATAGGTTCCGGAGCATGTCGCTCTTTTCCAACCTATCGCAAGCCCAACCACTTGTTCGCCACGACGTCTCTCGCGCGTAGCCCGGCCGCCGTGAACGCCATGCAGATCCATGTCGGTTCCGTGGACAAGTTACACAAGCCCCGAACTGGGCCCGAAAATCCTGTTGGCACATTGCTGTCAAATCGGGGGAACGGGCGGCGGCACGCGCTGAATTCTGGCAGAATTCGCAGGGTTGCCAGAAAACCAAAGAGGGAAGAAGGGCGAGGAGACGGTGAGAGCGAGAGGACAACAATGCCAACCAACTCCTAAGCCTCAAACACTCCAGGCTCCACAGAACTGGGTCAAGGACGGCAGTTGCTTCTGCCCGGGTTGCCAACAGTTCCTGCAGAAAGTAAGGGTCGAACTTCGTCTGAGAAAGACAACTCCCAACTGACTTCCTCGATGTCGCGCGAGGCCGCTCCGGCCTGCTGTCAGGCTCACGGCTTGTCTCTGTCTCTGCCACCCAAGGCATGGGTCTGCACATGGACATACTGCGTCGCGATCCATCTGCCTCTATCCGAAACGCATCCAACAGTGTGGATCTCACGAGATTTCATTGAATTTCACTCGTCTGGCTCGCCCCATACTGGTCCTCAAGGAGCAATCGCTGTCTATCACCCACCTTGCGGGCTTCCACCTCCCAAGATGTTTGTGGCTATCCACATCTGTCCACTTTTTGAACTTGATTGCCTTATGCCTAGTTCACTGCGTGCACGCGTGCCTCCTCGATGGAGAGCTCTCTCTGTAGCTCGCCCGCCACACGCTGTGCACTGGCCTTGACCTCACCGGTCAGACAAAGGGTGTTGTTGACGGCTTCCTGGCAAGCTGCACTAGCCCTGCCTGGCGCTCGCGTTCTGCAGAGGCACGCTGCGCTGCCAAGGCCTGGGCTGTGGACAGGCCCCTCAAAAAAGGGGACAGGAAGCACATGGGTCACAGGTTACTCCAAGCAAGGCTACTCGGCCAGATGCACGTTTGCAAAATGCAGCTCTCGTGAGACAGAATGGTTGCATTTGGCCGGTTTTGCTGTGTCGCAGGCCACGTCGATCTGTTCATCCACCACCTCTGTCACCGAACAAGTCAGCTTAGTCATGCCAACGATTGCAGCAAGCCGTTAGTCCTTATGTCGCAGCAAGTCCCAGCAAACCTTCAACTGGTTTGCCAGGTCCTCTCGCTGCTTCCTCAGCTCCTTCAAGCGGGCCTCCAGGGCCTGCGAGCAGAGCACAGCGCAGAGCCGTGGCGGCTTTTCTCTGCTCCGCGCCTGCTGCTCTTGCTGCATGGAGGCGATCTCGGCCTTTCGAGGCGAGGCACCCGAGGCACCCGCACCACGTCTCCACCACGTCTCCGCTCGGCTCAGCGGCCTGAAAGCCTTCGGAGCTGCTTGTGAGCCTAAGTTAAGTGCGCAAGCCGGACGGGCGATTGCAGGGCGTCAGCAGCCGTGGGCAGGGCTGTTGGCTGAGACCACCACCGGCCTGGCGACTGTGACACCATGTGACACCCTTGCCGCTCCGGAGGCAACAGGCGAAGGCCACAGTGGCCCTTGCTTCAGCAGCACTGGACAGAGCCTCTGATGCAGCGAAAAAAAGGGCAGGTCCAATCCGGCTAAAACCTGCCAACTGTTGGCGTATCTGCACACGATTCACACCGGCAGTGAAATCGCACGGGGATTCTGTTCAGACGCACAGAATCGAGTCAGGGGGGGCCTCTCAGAAATTCTGAGCTTGCACTCGGTACCGAAGATTTGGACTTAACGGCGATGCGGCCATGCTTCATGGGTCATACAACACCAAATTTCACAAGCAACCCCAGCCGGCAGGCACAAGAAACAGCGCGCACGTTCTACTGAGACAGTCGCGCAGCTACGCAGCAATCCTTTCAGTGTCCTTTCACGTGCTGTCTGCACTGCTGCAGTAGTTCAAGCGACACTGGAGCTGGCGACCGAAGGTCAAGACAGCGGTAGGGATACAGTAACACAGGGGGGCCACATGTGCCAAGAAATAATGGTCTGAGGCTTACACAGTCATGCGGGCTTCACTTTCCATCCTCATGGCCGCGAGTTGCTGTGCCTGATCTTGAGGCATATGTGCACTGCAATGCACTGCATGAGGCGCAGGCTATGCTTATGGCTTATGGCTTATGCATCTGCTCAGAGAACTGCCATTCCCTCCAAAGGGTCTCGGCGAGGAGTGCTGCTCTGCGAGAGATGGTTGCACACCTCGAGCGGGTGCCAAGCAGGCTTGCAAGATCTTCACGCGGCACGCTCTGGGCAATCGACTTTTCGTAAATTGCGAAAATGGCGGCTGCATTCCTGGCCACAACTACCCGCCGTCGCATTCCGCCGTTCCCACAGCATGCATCGCAGCTTGCATCGCATGCAGTGCGACCAGGATCACCATGAGGAGAGCTTTCTGCGCCTCCGCTCGGCCCAGCTGCTCCAACCAGCGAGCCACCTGCCCGTCGTCTTGCCCTCTCGCCCTCATGGCTCAATGCCCCTTTAACGAGGCCTTCCCTTCACCTGCACGCTCTGGCCGATTGGCAGCCAGGGTGACCTCGCATGGGACTTGGCACGGATTCCTACACACTGTCCTGGCCTTTACGTTTAAGGTGGGACGATACCCAAGGGCTGGGACCGCCTATCATGCGCACTCAAGAAGCTCGAAGAGAGAATGACTAAGTAATTACCGACGTTCTACTGTGATGTGTACGAACGACGACGCCGACCAGGACGACCAGGACGCCCAGGACGATGACGACCGCGACGGCGAGCCGAGGACGATGACGGCGATGACGATTGTGACGATTGTAACGATTCTGACGGTTCTGACGATTATGACGATGACGATGATGATGACGACGACGATGATGATGATGGTAGTGGTAGTGCTGATGATGATGATGGTGATGATGATGGTGATGATGGTGATGGTGATGATGCTGGTGATGATGGTGATGATGGTGACGACGAGGGCCGCGATGCTTGTCAATAGATGTCGTCACTTAACAGTGACCCGTCAGGTTACGAACCAATGCGTCAGTTCGGACGTGTACATACACTTCCTCCATTGACTTGTTGTTTATAGTGCAAATCAAAGACAAAGCATCGCTTGCTGGCAAGGCGAAGGAGCACAGAGCCTTCAAGCTTGATCCACAGAATTTTTTTCCAGCTAAGTGCGCGACAGCTATGGCTGGCAAACGTGTGAACTGCCTGCAGCGGGCCCGCACAACGGCAAACTGCCCATGCTTTTTTGTCACAGCTGCGAGTATGAATCTCAGCACATCACAGCTCATCACTTCCTGTCGACGAGAGATATTCGTCTTCCTGGAAGGCACTCTCCGGCGAAGCCGTGACATGGGACAGGAAGGCCCTGCATTACAATCGGGCCTCGCCCGCTCCTTCACTGCCCCGCCGAAGCCATGCAATGTCCACCTTTGTGCTAGCATGTCCGACCACCTCAGCCGCAAATGGGTCACAAAACTCAAAACATGACACATGGCAGCAACCAGTGACACCGTATTTGTGTAAGGTGGCAGGGATGATTGCTAGAAGGCCGCCTCTGACGTTGACGGTTATTTTCCAGGCTTTGTAGCGGTTGTTTATGGTTTCTCTGCTAAGGTCTAGGATTTGCGGTAGCACTAAGTTCGAGCATATAGCTGCACGCTAACTAGATGCTCAAGTTCGTTCCAGCCTGCAGCGAGCGACTTTTGGCATGTGCGTGTGCAATCGTCCCGTTAGCATGCCACAAGCTTTTCGCCGCTTGCTGGAGGGCGTGGCCCGGCGGGATCTTGACCGGCAGACATACACTCACATCTCGCACCTAAGACCTACGCTTCAGGTGTTCAAGGTCGTTCCAGCCTGCACCCATCGACTGTTTGCACTTGCGTATGCAGCCGTCCCGTTAGCATGCCACAAGTTTTTCGCCTCCCGCCACTTTTCCCTTCCAAGCCACATCTCACATATGCCGCATATGCCGCTCACCACCGGCGACAAAAGAGTACCAAACCGATGTCGTCTGCAGCTGCTCGGCCACGAGCACCACAGACTCCAGCCACGAAAAAAGCCCCACTACGCGTGGCCGGGGCCAATCGATGCATAAACTGCAACGACGATATCTCCTGAGTGTGTATATGTATATATATATA